TTGCGTAGCCTCGTCTGACATAACCACGCGTTGCGTAGCCTCGTCTGACGTAATCACGTGTTGCGTAGCCTCGTCTGACGRAATCACGRGTTGCGTAGCCTCGTCTYACGTAATCACGCGTTGCGTAGCCTCGTCTGACGTAATCACGTGTTGCGTAGCCTCGTTTATTTGCATCAAACAATCGAGAGGGAAACTAGATGGAAACAGTCTAGATTCGAATTTTTATTTATTTAATTTTTTGCGAATTTTGAAAAGTTCAATAAAAATTCATTCTACAACTGGATGGAAGCACGATTGTTTTGCAGCAGCTACAGCACCAAGTCTCCTCAGGTTCATCTTCCCATCAGTCTTTCCTTCATCTCTAACCTACTTCCTGCTGCTGATGAACATCCCCACAGCATGATGTTGCCTCCTCCGTGCTTCACTGTAGGGATGATGTTCTCAGCCGTTAGGTTTGCATCAGACGTGGTGTTAAATGGTCTAAAAGTTCAGTTTCACTCTCCTCTGACCTCTGCACAGTCTCCAATGTCTTTTGGTAAACTCCAGTATGACTTAAGATTATTTCTTTAAGTGATGTCTTTTTCCTGCCACTCTGTCATAAGCTCTGTGCAGCTTAAAGTGGATCTTTACACAGATCCTCCTGTCTGCAAAAGACCTGCAGCTTCATCAGTTTAGCTACACTCCCAATCAGGGCCTTGAGGTCCTGTGATCAAGACCTGCTGATTGTTCTCCATACAGAACAGAAAACTAAAGGAGACATGGTCTTTTCTTTTGTGGCTCCAAGACTCTGGGCCTCRCTTCCTCTGACTCTCAGATCAGCAGACTCTGGCCTCTTTTAAAGGCCCACTAAAAACGTCTGCTTTTGTTTAAATTTGCTTTGTGTATATGTTGTTCTGTCTGTTGAAGCACTTTGTGATTTTTATCTTGATAGGTGCTATATAAATAAAGTTTTACTTCCTTACTTTGCTCCCAGCAGCTGCATGTGGTTCATTGCATGAAGTAACTGCAACATGTCCGTTTGACAGGAGACATAGATGGCTGTGCTGTAATCCTCGTATGTGGGGCCAGGAATGTGGGCAAGTCAACATTTATCCGCATTCTCATCAATACTTTACTGAATCAGTAAGTACTCGTAACACATGCACTCAAATTATATTTATACATAAAATATGCAAGTTCAGAACTCCTGTTCATCTAGTGTCACAGGACCAAGTTAAATTCTAATATCCTCCTGTCTTTGCTGTGTGAGGACATGATTGATTGACAGAGAAGTATGTTAGACTGGTACAGGACATGTATGAGGACAG